AGCTCCAAAGGCTCCTGCTGAGCCACAACACTATCCCTCACCGCAGGGCCCTTCTCCCGGATCTGATGGTCCAGATGCGGTCGGGATGGGTTGTCCGTATGATAGGCTTGCAATTATCTCCTGTGTTTCCTCCTTTGTCCCTTCCGCTGAGTAGACCTCAGTCTGTTTGCCTCCTGATATAACTCCCAAATACTTTCAGGAATATTCCCTTTGATCCAATGATCTCCCGCCACCCGGTGGCAACCCAGTCTCTCCTCGCCCTGCTTGGCGTCAACACCCTGTCCAGGGTCCTCCACCTCCTCCAAGGCCGACTCATCATCCCCTTGCGGTCGGAGTCTGGCGGCAGCTCTAACGACTCCTGCTGGGCCACAACAACAAACATATCTTTAAAGTCAGTTAATTCACCTACTTCAACTTCAATATAATCACACATTTTAATCAGAATCTCCTAAGATCTTATTTCCTCCTCCCACTCTTTCCAAAGAAAGTCAGACAAACAAACCATAAAACCCAAGGGAAATTTCCCGCTTATTTCCAGCTGGAGTTAAGGAGGCCTCCAATTGCAAAACCCAAATCTGTTACCTCTTCCTTGAGAAGCAGAAATTGAGTTAATGTCAGGGAATCAAAGGGAACTAGCTACATTGCAGCAAGGAGATTCCAATCAAACAATCAGGAAAAGGGGAATGCAGAACTTTTCAATGCTGGGATCAACTTTTTGCTGACTGTGGTGTTTCATAGACTAAAGTTCATGTCCTCTCGGAAGGGACTCCAAAGGGATCTTTGGAGCTCACTTCCCTAGACTTTCACCCAGTCCAGAGGTGGTATTCTAACAGTTTGGACCGGTTCACCCGGACCGGTAGCGGAAATTGTGAGTGGCCCTGCCCACTTGCCCCAGCTCTGCAGCATCCTATTTAGGCCTTTTTTTCACCAAAAGTGCATGCATGGAAGGCTGTGCGCATGTGCAGAGGTGGCACATGAGAGCTAAGTGAGCGAGCAAGCACACTCACATTTGCGAACTGGCAGGGAAGGTAAGTGAATCCCACCCTGACCCAGTCTATTTGAACTGGGGTTCGGTGCTTGCTCCTTCCTTCATTCCTTTGCAGTTATTATTTATGTAGTGATTCAAGTTGAATTACTAATTCCCCGTAGTTAACCCAATTAGAATTTGGTTATTTTTTTCCCTACTTCCTCTTTCTAAACTTACTTAACTATTTCAATTTTGCTTCCCTTACATGTCTCAATAGTAACTATTTTAATTGAAAGAGATGATTATATGTTTGTGGTAGCCTGCCACAGTGAACAAAGTGTACTTTTGGATTTCTTAGTGGAACAGTTGGTAGTTTAAAGTTTGAACCATTTTTTCTGAATATATGTGGTAACGGCTGGTACTCCTGATGTAATGAAATGGTAAATTCACAACCCTCGGGTAAGTTTGCTCGGAATTCCAGAAAATATAAACCCAACTTATTTGTAAGATACTAGCAAAGAAAAGGAGAATGTAGGAATTACTTTCATCTAGGCTGGCTGGCTTGATTATCAACTAGTGCTATTGTTTGGAACAGCAGTAATTTGAGAGCTTCCAGTTTAACTATCTGTCACAATTTAAGATATTGGCTTTGAGTTTAAATTTCTCTGTA